TGTCAAGTAGTTAACCCTTTATTGTATATATATAAAAAAAAAAAAATACAAATTTTCAGTTATTACTTTTTTACCTCATAGCAGATTAACCACGTGCTAAACTTTGGAATCCCTTCCTCCAAATCCAAATACTTGATCCTCTACTGATGAGATGGTTGTGTTTTTATATACTTGCAGTCTTGTTGTTGTCTGCTTTTGCTACCATAAGTGAATTTCTTTCTTGTTTCATTACCATGGCAAAGTAGTTATTTGAAACTCTCTTCTTTGAATTTCATGCAGAGCTTAGCAGGAATTTGATGGCAATTGCTTGGTTCAGGTGTACAGTGTTCAGGCTTGCATCTCAAAGACTCCAACATTACTTTGAAATACTGAATTTGTCCAGACTGGAGCTTTTCAAGCTACTCACATATTGATAATTGCATAACAGATAATAGGCATGCATTTTCTACTTATTTTAGTTCAGATTTTTCAGAATGTGGGGCTGGAAAGCTGTGTAATTTGTATCCTTCATGGTACTTCTTTGCAGGTCCTGTGGGGTTTCAAACTCATTTGTCAATCACAGAGTTGATGGAACTCCTGTATGCATTCCGGTTGCTCAACCAAAAATTGTCCGAATCTTAGGACCTTCCAAGAATAATTCTGCTAAAAAATGTGGTTCCACCATTTCAACTAAATAAAGTCCAGTAATCAACCTCAAAGGTTGCTTTGTACTGTCTACTACTGTAAAAGATGTGAGAAGTGATGATGCGTGTAGAGGCCTACATGATCTGGCTACCTAGTATTCTGCTGATAAAGTAAAAATATTCCACACTTGCCTTCTGATAAAACGAAAGGCCAGAGTGACAAAAGCTTTTCTTGAGGTCAGTTTCATTAGCAAATTTATGAGTTTTTGATTCTGCAAAGTCGAAATCCTGTTGCACACCAGAAGATGTAATAATTCAATTCTGAATTCCAATAATTTGTTTCCTTAACCGTAAGCAGTAGCAGTAAACCATCATTGCCTAAATTGATTAATTCTTATATCAATTTAATAAAATTATAAACCAAACTTTTATGCATTAAATTCTGGAATTCACATCACTGGACTGATTCTGATGCTTAATCTCTTCTTTCTATGGACTCTCAGCTGATTTTATCCTTTCTTTCCTCTGTTTCTTTACTTGTTGCAGATGGACCTATATGTGATGATCTGGTGAAGCAGTTGAAGAAGGGTGCACTGATGATGATGCTAATGGTGTTAATTTTAAGATAGTTTCTGATGGTGAAAGGCAACGGGAAAAGGAGTGTGGAGAGTAGGTAAACCAATATCCATGCTTTGTACCTTTAAGAGTACTGGTTTGCATTCCATAGCTGGTCTTCCAGGTGCATAGATGCTTCAAATTTTAATAATTTCACCGTATGATTCTGCTTATCATTGATTTTCATCTTGCCAATAGTGATTTAATTTGTTATTACCATTGATTTCTTCTGATTTTCCACATCTATTCTGCATTGGATGGTGGATAAGGCCATCCTGAACTTCTTCAATAACCAAAGTAGGGTTTGGGCAAACGATTTTGGCAATTGGTTTCTCCATTTCTTCTTCTTTGCTGCCCAAATTTGTAAAAGAATTGGTCCTTATTGAATGACCTGCATTCATTCTGGCTTTAACAAGTGTGGAGTGCTTCTAACTATCTTTCTTGCCTTTTTTGTGATTAATTCAAGCAACTGGAGGCTAGTGTGGCTCTACTCTTTTAGTTGATTTCATTATGCCTGTTTTAGATTGTAAATAAGCTAGGTTGTAAGAACTGCACTCTTTAACTGTTTGGTCTTGCAATGCAGGCCTCCTCCAGCTAAGAAGTCTCACTGCTAATAATCTGGGAAGCAAAGAAGGAAACAGGACAGAGGGGAAGCACCCTCAAAGTGAAAATATACAGGATACTTTCCTTGGGTTGCCAGCACTCTGCAAGTGGCAGAATCAGGCACACTCTCACGTGAAGCATCTTACTCATGGCACCTTTGAACACTGAACAATCAAAAAGACAACCAGGGAAAGCAACAAGGCAATATCTTATCATTCTTGGAGACAGTTAACCTGGGCAGAATGAAGTTTCTGCTCTTCCTAGCCATCATCCTTCACTGGATTTCGTTCTTTCTTTTGGTTAGACAATATTAATTCATATTCATCTATACAATTTCTATGTTTTAATGGGAAGTCCAAACTCCAAAGTAAGCTATTTGCCTCCGGATTTCCACCTTCCTTTGCTAGGATGCAGTTTGAAACTGCTTTTGTAAATAACCTCCTTTATGAATATGTAAGTGGTTTCAGAGATAAAAAGAGATTAACAATATACATGATCTATGTTCAGTCTCACACACATAATCTTCAACCATCTTTTGTCATGTTGGTTTGCTCACTCAAGACATGCTACGGTAGTTCGTATCCTGCAAAGGTGAGTTGTAAGGCAGCTTAGAAGAAATCTCAATTTCTGAGGTTGATAATCTCAGTGGTTTAAAATAAGTGCATCTTCACAAGAAAAAAGGCAGTATGCAACCAAATGGGTCCTGTGGGGCAAAGAATGAAATGTATATATATGAAGAAAAATGTAGTAAAGGATGCAACTCTAGTATGCAAAGAGAAAGAAGTGACAGCCTAAATATTCCATATACTTTAGCAGGAAGTCAGGAACTCAAAAAACAGACCTAGCTTTAGTTAATTAATTCCGATTATGTGCAAAAGTCAAACTGAAGATTCATGTTTGTTCAATGTTTTCAGAAAATTCACTGAAACCTTTATTATATCGAAGCTTATGGGTCATCAGGACCAAGTATTCAAAGAAAAAAGAAAAAAAGTGGTGAAGGAAACATGAAATAAAAATAAAGATATCATTTAACACTCATCTCTTACAACTAACTGAGCATTGATAATCTAACAAACAACTGAACCTTGATGACAGACAAAAAATTAAAAAAAGAGTACCTTACTCTGCCCAAAATTGGCTTTACACTCAAAGTGACAGCATCATTCATGCTATCATTTCATATTTTAGCAGAAATTGACAATTGAGAATTCCAACCAAATTACAGCAAATAGAAATAGCCAAAAAGCATGCGAAATGCCAATGGAAAGCAGTGGATAATTTTTGGGCTAATGATTGATGAATAATAACTTGTAGCAGTAGTTGTTGGCTGCCTGTCATGCTCTTTCTTTCTTCGCCAGTTTTTAAAGAGTTTGCCATTCATGGCCAATGAGAGCTCACTATGTCAGCACTCTAGGGGTGATGATGAGGAACACAAACACAACCTAGAATATGCAGATTGCCATAATGACTTCAATAGTGTTTTCTTCTTCTTCTTCACTGCCACAGGCTACATTATAGGAAACAAAAACAACATATATAGAATATGTGAAATAGCAGCATCCGTAGCAAAATGAGTTACCATGTGCAAGACTGAAGGAAAAGTGGCTGCCAGATCGAACAAGTTAGAGACTTTAGTTAGTTGATTCTCTAATATTCAGGACTTCAATTATATTTTCAAGTCTAAACATTTTCAAAGTCTTACGACCTACAGGGTATTAGTGGGATCAGAAGAAGACGGAGGTATATTTCCGAACTTTGCAAGACATGATTCTGGAGCTAAACATTTAATTTTACTAAGTTTTGTTAGAGAAAGCAAGGGAATTGACTTCTTGTACTGTTTATGATTGTCAAGACCTAGAGTGCTTGTTTCACTTGAACTCATCCTACTCATCGTCCTATCTAGTACTGGATAAGCTTGAAATTCTCCACCTATGTTCCATGCCAAGCTTGCAAGTACTTGTAAGCGTGGATAATCTTACAGGGCTGGAAATCGTCTACCTGTCTCACAACCATCTTAACGGTGAAATTCCGATGTCGTTGGCATCGCTGCCTCTGCTTAATGACATCGATCTCTCAAACAACAGTCTCAGCGGCCCAATGCCACAGACGAAGCAGCTCTGGTCATTTCCGGTATCTAGATTCGAGAACAATTCGGGGCTGTGCGGACACCAGTTGCAGGCTTGTGTGGACACCAGTTACAAGCTTCTGTAGCTTCGGAGGATCCTTCTGAGGCGGAGGAATTGGAGTGGTGGTTCTGGTTTGTTGTTGCGATAGGGTTCATCTCTGGGGTCGTGTGTGGAATATCTCTCGCAGAATTTTGGTCTAGAAGAATTGAATATCTGTTAAGGGATGTCATGATTCTGATGCAATCGAAGAGGAAGACACTGTTGAAGAAATGCAGTTAAAGACAGCATGAAACTGTTTTACAAGCAGCCTTATCCCATGTTTATGTTTTTGGTTACTTGCAAGAGCTTTTATTTTTATTTATTTTTTTAATATTTATGGGTGATAAATTTAAATTTTTAT